CAAGCGCCGCGAGGAGCAGAGGCGCGGGGTGCGGGCTCGCACCCGCGGGGCAGGAGGAGGAGGAGGAGGAGGAGGAGGAGGAGGAGGAGGAGGAGGAGGCCGCCAGGGCAGGAGACCCGAAGCGGGAGGAGGAGGCCCCGGGCGCGAGCCCGCGCTCGCGGAGAGCCAGCACGCCATGGAGGAGGGCTGGCGCCCGCGAGGCGCGGGTCGGGCGCCCGCCGCCGAGCGCGTGCGGGGGGCGCGTAAGCGGCGGCCGCCACGGACTGGCTGCCCGAAAGGCCTGCGAAAGGCCTCCTCCTCCTCCTCCGCCTCCTCCGCCTCCGCCTCCTCCGCCTCCTCCGCCTCCGCCTCCTCCCCATCTCATCCTCCTCCTCCTCCTCCTACTCCTCCTCCTCCTCCTCCTCCTCCTCATCATCATCATCATCATCATCATCATCATCATCATCAGCATGATCATCATCAGCATCAGCATCATCATCATCATCATCATCATCATCATCATCCTCATCCTCATCTTCATCCTCATCCTCATCCTCATCGTCATCATCCTCATCATCACCATCAGCATCATCATCATGTTCGTAATCATCATCATCAGCAGCATCATCATCAGCATCATCATCGTCATCAACACCATCATCATCACCTTCATCACCATGAACAGCACCATCGCAATCACCAACATCATCATGACCAGCAGCATCAGCACGACTATCATAATGATCATCATCATCAGCAGCACCAGCATCAGCATCATCATTATCATCATCATTATCATTCACATCACCACTATCATCATCATCAGCATCATCATAAGCATCATCACCAAACTCATCATCATCAGCACCACCATCATCATCATCATCACATCATCATCATCATCATTATACTCATCATCACCTTCATCATCGCCATCGTCAGCATCATCATCATCATTATCATCATCGTCATCACCATCAGTACCAGTATCATCCTTAGCATCATTACCAGTATCAGTGTATCATCAACACCACCACCATCATCATGAGCATCAGCATCATCGTCAGCATCGCCAGCATCGTCATCAGCATCATCATCAGCATCATTATCACCGCCACCACCATCATCGTCGCCATCATCACCATTATGGTCATCATCATCAGCATCATCATGATCCACATCATCATCATCATCATCATCAGCAGCAGCACCGTCATCATCAGCAGCAGCATCATTATCATCATCCTCCGCAGCAGCGTCATCACCAGCATCAGCATCATCAGCATGATCACCATCATCAGCATCCATACGTACTATCGTTATCATCGTCGTCATGCAATTAACCGCAAAACTATCATTGTCTGCATCATCACCACCACCACAATCCTCCTAATCAGCATCCTCACAATCGCCACCATCGTCAGCATCGACATCAACAACGTCATCCTCATCATCAGCATCATCATCAGCGCCATCATCAACCTCACCAGCATCATCAGAGCCGGCAACACCATCATCATCACCATCATCATCATCAATCAGCATCATCGTCATCATCATCATCAACATCATCATCACAGTCATCGGAATCATCAGAAGCAGCATCCGTATCGCACCCCATTTACTCCCCCCCGCATCCTCGAAGTTATCAGCATCATCATCATAAACAACATCATTAGCAGCAGCAGCATCCAGCTTCACAATTATCATCAGCATCATCACCATCGTCAGCATCACAATCATCATCATCATCATCATCATCATCACCAACATCATCAGCACCATCGCCAATAACAGCAGATCACCAACCTCATCAACACCTCTAGCCACAGCAGCAGCAACAGCATCATCATCATCAGCAGCAGCAGTAGCATCATCAGCATCAGCATCAGCATCCGCAGCATCAGTAGAAGCACCAATTTTGTCGGCAGCATCGTCGCACTCATCATCACCATCGTCATCAACACTGTGGTAGTCATCATCAGCAGCAACACCACCAGCATCCTCAGCATTATCACTGTCAGCAGCATCGTCAGCATCATCAGCAGTAGCAACATCTTTATCCTCACCATCAACACCAGCAGCATCATCAGCATCAACAACTCCATTATCGTCAACTCCATCTTCGTCATCGTCGCCATTGCCGTTACAGGCATCCTCATAAGCAAGACAATCATCATCACGATGATGATGATAATCATCATCATCATTATCATCAGCATCGCCATCATCCTCACCATCACCACCCCCAGTAGACCAGCAGCAGCAACATCACCGCCGCCATCCTCAGCATCAGCATCACCATCATCAGCAGCATCAACATCATCAGCAGCATCGTAACCGACATCATCATCAGCCTCAGCCGCAGCACAAACCTCACGGGCATCAACATCATCATCATCATCATCATCATCATCATCATCAGAATCATCATCAGCTGCAACATCAGTGGCATCGTCATCAGCACCGTCATAGTCAGCATCGCAATCATCATTACTCGCATCCTCATCATCGTCATCATCAGCATCATCATCAGCATCAGCATCAGCATCTGAAAAATCATCACATCTAACACCATCACCG